GGCCTGTCCCTCTACAGGAGGAATATTCGAAAATAGTACAAAAATAGTCTGAGGACTATTTTTTGATTTTTAACCATTTTGGAATATTTCGTAGAAAATCCCCCTGTAGGGGGACAGGCCCGACTTAACCCTAAATCCCCAAGACGTCCATCGGTTTTTGGTGTGGGAACGTCACGCCTTCCACAGCAAAACGACCGAAACCCAAGAAAACCAGGGCACCCTGGGGGCAAGCAAGGTGTTTCTTGGCATGGGCTCCCAATGTATCATCTGAATCGTCCCCCTGTGGTTTGCTGTGCTTTGTCTGGAATCGCCGTCATCCGCTACTTCCAGCGATGCCGCGCTGCTTCCCCCAAAAGCGGTGGCGGATATGCGCGGCGACGCGACTGGATCAATGAACTCTTTTCCGTTTGTGTCGACGTAGTTGGTGATCGTTGCCTTGAACTCGTCGCCCAACAGCACGTGCATGTCGTCCTCCTTGATGTAGCCGTCCCCGACAGTATCGATTTTTCGGAAGGCTTCCCGGATGGCCGCTGTGTTGTTGGCCATGCGGCGCGCCTTCGTCAAGCTGATGAACTCGGTATAATTCACGCGCCGACGCCGCCCCTTCCCGTCGGCACCCTCCTCGTGACCGCTGCCAGGCAGGTTGCCCGCGATGCGGTCGAAGAAAGACTTCTCCTCCGCGGAGCCCGACGGCAGAAAGTCCTTGATCACCTGGATGAAGAGGTCTGCGTCAATCTTCCCAGAGTTGCTCTCGTCGTGGCTACGGAAGCGCTGCTGCAGGAGGGCCACGTCCTCCTCGCGGCCGCCGAACGACGCCAGCGCCGCGCGGGTGATCGCGTTGATCTGGGCGAACTTCGACATGTCGCGAATCACCCCGCGATCGATCGGCAGCTCGAGCTCTGAGTCGGGCCCGCCCTTGGGCCAGCTCAGCAGCTTCGGCTGGGTCTCCATCTTCAACCAGGCGTGCTGCGCGGCCTCGGCGGCCGTCAGGCGCTCGTACGGGTCCTTGCGGAGCAGGGACTTCACGAAGTGCTTGGCCGTCTCGCTGATGCCCTCCCAGCGCTTGCCGGTGGACTGGAAGCGGCCAGACCTGATCTTCTGCATGACATCGGTGTCGGTTTTCCCATCGAAGGGTGGGACACCGCTAAGAAGCATGTACACAATAACGCCAACCGACCACATGTCGCAGGGCAGCCCATACGAGCCCTCCAGGACCTCTGGGGCCACGTAGTACAACGAGCCCAAGGTGGCGGTGAGCTGTACCGACGGCTCAACAATCTGTCCGAAGCCGAAATCACATAACTTTAGCTTTGCCTCCGACGCGGTGCTTTCGTAAAGCCAATTTTCTAATTTCAAATCCCTGTGGCAAATGTTCTGCGTGTGCAGATACGACACGGCGTCCAGCATCTGCCGAGCAACTCGCGCAGCATCGAACTCAGAATACCACTTTCTCTCAGATAATCGCTCAAAGAGCTCCTTGCCTGTGCAGAGCTCCATAACAAGTAACACTGCCTGGTCCACTTCTGACTCGTAGACCTCCAACAACTGGACTATGTTTTTGTGTGAGACTTGCAGGAATATTCGAACCTCCGAGACGAGCATCTGTCTTCTCTGCTCCGAGAGGTTATGACACGATATCCGCTTGACGGCCACCTCCTTACCCGTCTGCCTCTGCAAGGCCATGCGCACGGGGCCGTTGATGCCCTCGCCGAGGATGCCCCTGTCGCCGGGCACGAGCTCGTACATCTGCTGAAAAGTCTTGTCCGCAATGATGCGCGACGACTCCACGATGTTCCGCTTGATCTCGCTGAGGACGCGCCGAACACCTCCAAGATCGGCCGGCATCGAGCTGGCATCGGCACGGAATCGAGATCGAGTCGGATCGGCCGCGCCAAGGTGCAACGCAACGCCATGCAAACATCGGGCCCATACTGGATCATCGAAAGGTTGGTATCGAATCGGATCGAATTGGCCGGAATCGATATCGACTCTGATCGAACAGATCGCAATGGGCCCTGCTCTGGTCTCCAGGGTCCTGATGTCCTCCTCCTCCTCCTCTCTCCCCCGACCTCCAACGTTGCATCTTTGTCACAACGCGGACCTCGGAGGTCTGGACCGCTTCCCCTGGACAGGTCTTCATCCCGAATCGTTTTTTTGAGTACGGTTCTGGGGTCGGGACCTCCCCCGAAGCGCAACGTCCGCGGCGATATACCGCCAGCGAGTCCTGCTCAAAATGGACAGGAACTGCTGTCAGACTCCGTTCTTGTGAACGTTTTCTTATTCGGCGCTTCGACATTGGGCGGAAGGGGGGGGAGGGGGGGGGCCTGGCTCCGGACCTCTGCTTAGTGCGACTGTTTGCGGCAGTGCGTCCATGATGGGGGAGGCTCCGCCTGCTCGAAACGGGCGCCAAAAACAGCCAAGATCCACTCCAGGGGGGGGAAGGGGGGGGAGGAGGGGTCCGAGGGCCCGCGCCGATCGGCAAAACAATACATAAAAGAACGATCACTCTTTCCGTGCCGATTTCGGTCGCATCGGACCTCCCGACTCTGGCGCTCTCCTGGCGGTGTCGCCGTCCGCGGCGCACGCCTTCTCGCCCGCGGGGGCCGGGGGGGCCAGCGGGGCGCGGTCGGTGAACGACCTCTCGCCCCTCGGCTTGGTCATGGGGCCAACTCTGGCCTCCTCGAGGGGCGCCCAAACCCAGGGCTGGACCTATTCGTTGGTTTTCGTTTTGTGTTCGTTTTGCTTTTCGTTTTGCTCTCCCTGTTTCCTCGTGCCCAACCGCCAATACGAAACACAAAACACCGCCGAAGTCCAACAGAACAGCGTTTAGGTCCAGCCCCGCCCAAAATTGCACAAACGTGCACTGTCACAGGAGGACGCCGGCGACACACCCGCACCGATCCTGACCAGGCTCATTCTGGGCCCAGCGTCGGTGCAGGTGCACAGCTGTCGCCCTCCAGCTTTCGGAGGCCCGCGCGGATTCTTTCTGTGTCGAAGCTAGGCCTCCCATCCCTGGCGCGCGGGGCGTGCCAGAGGCGGTGCTGGAGGCGCCGCCAGGGAGGTCCAGCGCCGATCCGAGAAATCCACGCGGACCTCCGAAGGTTTACAAGCAAAACGTGTATGAAGGACGGGTGGCAGGAACGCAAAATCCTTGGAGGCCGAAGTTGGGATCTTTTGGTCGGCGGGCGACCAGCGAAAACGATCAAGGACGGGCCGCAGAGGCAAGGACACAAAGGTAGCCTAGATGAAGGCGCGCGTCCTTACTAGTCGCGCGTTGACTGTACTCCCAAAGTTCCCTAATTCGCCATCGCTCGGACGTCCATTCCCAATGCATTTTTCGGTTTCGTGCGTTTTTTGTTGCTTTCTTTTTTATCGCAGGATGATCCAGGATCCTCCTAAATGATCCCTGCCGAGAAGAATGCACACGCCAGAGCGATGTGAGCGTGATCCACCGTTGCTTTACTGTAGAACAATCCCCCCTCCTCCTCCCAACTCTTCCTCCTCCGTCGGGAACCCTGGGGCACCCCCTCCCCCTCCCAAAATCCCCCCCCCCCCTGCTCGAACCCCTCCCCCCCCTTTCCCTGGCAAAACCCCCCCTTCCCCGAACCACCCCTCCCCCTCCGGAAAACCGGGGGGGGGGGTCACTACCGGTTCGAACACCCACCCCCCTCCTCCGGAAAACCGGGGGGGTTACTACTGGTTCGAGCGCCCCCCCCCAGAAAACGGGGCGGGGTCACTACCGGTTCACTACCGGTTCGAACACCCACCCCCCTCCTCCGGAAAACCGGGGGGGTTACTACTGGTTCGAGCGCCCCCCCCCAGAAAACGGGGCGGGGTCACTACCGGTTCAGGCCCCCCCCCCTCGCCGCCAGCAAACGACTCCTAAGTCCCCACCACCGTCCTCACCACCGCCCTCACCACTGTCCCCACCACCACCGTCCCCACCACTGTCCCACTGTCCCCACTCTTTCCACCACTGTCCCACTGTCCCCACCAGTGACCCCACCACTGTCGCAATGTCCCAACTGTCTCCACCACTGTCCCCACCACGGTCCAATGCACTCTCCCCACCCCCACCACTGTCCCACTGTTCTTACTGTCCCCACCACTGTCCCACTGTCCCCACTGTCCCCACCACTGTCCCACTGTACTGTCCCACTGTCCCCACTGTCCCAGTCCCCAAAACTGTCCCCACTGTGCCACTGTCTCATTGTTCCACGACCGTCCTCACCACCGCCCTCACCGCTGTCCCTACCACCACCGTCCCCCCCGCTGTCCCACTGTCACCACTGTCCCCGCCACTGTCCCACTGTCCCCACCACCACCATCCCCACCACTGTCCCACTGTCCCCACTGTCCCACTGTTCCACTGTCCCACCAGTGCCCCCACCAGTGTCTCACTATCCCCACTGTCCCCACCACTGTCCCCACAGTGTCCCACTGTCCCCACAACTGTCCCACTGTCCCCACTGTTCCCACCTCTATCCCACTGTCCCCGCAGTCCCCACCGCTGTCCCACCGTGCTTTCCCACTGTCTCCACCACCTTCCTCACTGTACCACTGTTCAATTGTCCCACCACCGTCCTCACCACCGTCCTCTCCCACTGGCCCACCACCAGTGACCCCATCACTGTCTTACTGTCCAATGTCCCCACCACTGTCCCACTGTCCCCACTTTTCCCACCACTGTCCCCACCAATACCCCCACCACTGTCGCACTCTCCGCACTGTCCCCACCCACCACTGTCCCCGCCACGGTCCCACCCTCCCCACTGTCCCACTGTCCCCACCACTGTCCCCACTCTCCACCACCATCCCCACCACCGTCCCAATCACTGTCCCCACCACAATCCCCCATCCGCAGTGGGGGAGAAAGGGTAGTCGTTTGCCAGCGGCGAGGAGGGGGGGTGGGGGTTCGAACTGGTAGTGACCCCCCCCCTTTTCATGATGGACTGGGGGGGGGGGAGGCGTTCGAACCAGTAGAAACCCCCCTTCGGTTTTCGAGGGGGTGGGAGGGACGGGTTGGAACCCACCAGTGACCCCCCTGGTTTTCCTGCTAGCAGCGGCAGAACACGCTCTTTCCTGGCGAAACTGCTCGTCTCTGGGGACTCACTGCAGCTCTTCTGGCGCCGGGGTGAGGCGCCGCCCGGGCCGCCGCGGTCGGTGGCCCCATCGTGGCCCCGCACATCGTGGCTATGTGAAGCTGTTGCTTCGGGGCCTCTTGCTGCAAGGCTGCCATGCTCGTTTGGCACGAGGAAAGGCTGTCCTGAGGGCAATGGGGGAGCGGGGCGTTCGGCTACACGCAAGTGTGACCCTAGGCAAGAATGACCCGTGGGGCGCGGCTGAACAGGGGACGCGGGTTGGCCAACCCGGGCGCGCACGCCGCTGCTACCGCTTCGCTGAAGGGGCCCAGGAACACACACAAATAAATACACACAAATAAAACGATTCCCCATATTTTCTCATAGTTTCTGGGTTTCTGCTTTCCCCACCACGTCCCATACTTTGCCATATTTTCTGGGGAATCGACGATCAATCGTGTCTGTGTGCTTTTCCCCTCCTGATTCGCGCTCGGCGATCGGGGCGCACCCCGAACCAGAGGTCACTCTGGGCAGAGGTCACTCTTGCGCATCACCGACATCGTGGACCCCGAGGCCTCCCGCCCGCGCCGAGTCGCCATCCCGGGCCGTGCTCTTAGGCGGCCCTGGGGCGACGGGGCCCGGCCCCTGGAGGCCGAGCGCGGCAGAGCACGCCGCTCGGACCCGGGCTCCCCCCCGACTCCACCCCGCACGCCCTCCGGGCACCCGCGCACCGAGGAGTAGATGTTCCAGCCTGCCTTGCGCCTCGAGCACCAAGAGAGCACCAAGACTTTGGGGGCTTGTTCGTGCCGGGGCCTTTTTTGGAGGCGAGACGCGTTCGACACCGCTTCGATGTGTTTTTTTGCTGGATGCTCGGAGTGATTTCTGGGATGTGGTCCTTAAGGACGATGGGAGCAACATAAACCGAGGACTTCGCCGCCCTGCCGATGTTGCTCCCATCGTACTTACAGACCACATCCCAGAAATCATTTTGAGCAGCCCGAACAGTGTCGAAATGTCGTAACAGTGTCGGGCGAGTCTCCCAGGGCCCGACACGCGAAAACCCTCGAGCTTCGGTACTTTTTTTTGGTTGGGTGCTCGACATTCTTTCAGGTCATCAAGGTCAAAGTAGGTTGGAACAGCACAAACCCAGGGTGCTCCTCGGGGATGGACAGATACCCCTTTAGCAGAACGTGGTTTAGTGAGAACGACCTCGGGCCCAGACCTGGCGGGCCCAAACCTGGAACATGACGGCCGCGGCGCCCTCTTGAGAACCGACAGCGGACAATTCACTAATCGACCTGTCAGGGTTCGGGGATCTTCTGACCCGGGTCAATCCAGACCCGGGTCAGCAAGAAACCGAAAAACTACAATGCAAACAAAAAAAAACTGCAACGCAAGTCCTTCGCAAACCCGGGTTAGCCAATACGAGCGGCCGCCTCGCGGCCACGAGCGGCTCGCTAACCCGGGTCAGCCAGAGGGGGTCTTCGCAGGATCCTGCAGGATCTGGCGCCCTGGCTGACCCCCGTCTGCATTGACCCCCGTCTCTTGAGCCCCGAAGAGTGGGGATTCTGTCCCCCGAGCTCCTCGACGGTGCTCGCCGAGAAAGAGTGCACGCGCCCGGGCGATGCCCAGGGTTCTGAGCGTGCCCCCCCCCCCGCTTCCCGCGCGCCCCGCTCCTGCTCCCGCCGCCTGCCGTGCCGGATTCGGCCACGCGCATCCCACGCAACTCCTCATCCTCCTCCTCCTCCTCCTCCTCCTCTCCTCCTCCTCCTCCTCCCTCTCCTCCTCCTCCTCCTCCTCCCTCCTCCTCCTCCTCCTCCTCTCCTCCTCCTCCTCCTCCTCCTCCTCCTCCTCCTCCCCTCCTCCTCCTCCTCCTCCTCCTCCTCCTCCTCCTCCTCCTCCTCCTCCTCCTCCTCCTCCTCCTCCTCCTCCTCCTCCTCCCCCTCCTCCTCCTCCTCCTCCTCCTCCTCCTCCTCCTCCTCCTCCTCCTCCTCCTCCTCCTCTCCTCCTCCTCCTCCTCCTCCTCCTCTCTCCTCCTCCTCCTCCTCCTCCTCCTCCTCCTCCTCCTCTCCTCCTCCTCCTCCTCCTCCTCCTCCTCCTCCTCCTCCTCCTCCTCCTCCTCCTCCTCCTCCTCCTCCTCCTCCTCCTCCTCCTCCTCCTCCTCCTCCTCCTCCTCCTCCTCTCCTCCTCCTCCTCCTCCTCTCCTCCCTCCTCCTCCTCCTCGCTCCTCCTCCTCCTCCCTCCCTCCTCCGTCCCTCCTCCTCCTCCTCTCTCCTCCTCCTCCTCCTCCTCCTCCTCCTCCTCCTCCTCCTCCTCCTCCTCCTTCTCCTCCTCCTCCCCTCTCCTCCTCCTCCCTCCTCCCTCCTCCTCCTCCTCCTCCTTCTCGTAGGGTACAAGCGTATAATTGGCGCCCTCCTTCCGAAAATATCCTCCGTCAACGGCGAGGCAACACTGCACCAGCGAGCAGCGATCTGGGGCAACCCTTCCGAAACAAACAACACATTCCCCCTCAAGCCTTATGATGTTCCTACCTACTTTAGCCTTGATCGCCAGAAATAATCTCGAGCACCAAGAAAATACCGAAAGGGGAGGGTCTTCATGTGTCGGGCCCCGGGAGGCGATACACTCGTTCGACACGGCTTCGATGCTTTTCTGGGCGCTCGAAATTCTTTCTGGGATGTGGCCCTCAAGTGCGATGGGAGCAACATAGAACTCGAGACCCGCTGACCTCGTGGCGACCCCGTGCCGACCTTTCTCCTGCGGCTCCTGCCCCGAGCTCTCGTGGACGTTCCGCGAGAGGACCCGCACCGGCCGGGCGTCGTCCCCGGGGGCCGGGGGCGCGTCGCTCGCGCGGGAGTCGGAGGACTGGGCGCAGGCCCTGAGGTCGGAGGCCCCGGAGATGTCCTCGCGGGCCGCGCCGAAGAGGGGGGCAGGGAAGAGAGGGGCGGGGGGTCACGGAGGGGCAGAAGACGGCCTAGGCATCAACTTCTGGGGCTCCGCGCGCATCTCCTCGGAGTCGGTGCGGGACCCGGGGGCTGAACTGGGGCATTCCACCTCGAACACGTTCTCGGCGATGCAGTCGAAGAAGAGGAAAGGTGGGTCAATACATAGATGGGCCTTGCCAACAACATGTGTACGTCAGTGTAGTCTCGTCAAAACACTTGTGGGTCTGATAAGGTAACCAACCAAAAAGAGACTGCTTCGGGCATCTGGATAGCTCTGACGAGTACGTCAAAGGCATATGCATCAGTGCTGGACCACCCCCCCACCACCCCCCCTGGCGCGCAGAGCGCGACAGGCGCCGCTAGGGGGGGCCCCGCGCCGATCCAAAAGATCTGCGCGAAACTCCAGGAGTCTAAGTTAAGTTTGATGCATTTTGTTGTTTGCCTCTTCGAGGTCAGGTCGCCTTGGACCGAGGCCTGTGCGATGACGAGGGGTGGGCAAGGGGGGGAGGGGACGTGGAGAAAGCAGATTTGGGGGCCCGCGAACCCTGGGAAGTGTCGTGGCGACCACGTCATCCACACACCCCTGGTCTTCATCCCCTAACATCATTGATGACTCTTGGGTTTACACTGGACCTCCTCCTCCTTTTTCCTCATTCCTTCCGCCCCCCTTAACATGTACGATGCAAGACAGCAAATGTTGCCGCCCAAAACTGGGTAGCGGCCGCTGTCGTGCAGAATTGACTTACCCAGTTTTATTTTTCCACCGAGTCTGTTCAAACTGCGAAGAATGCTCTCTGTCAACTGGGCACTCGGTGTTATTTCTGTAGATCCGGCGGGAGATCGATTTTGGGGTAAATCGTTTCTATAGTCGATCCCCATGCTCGAGGACTGTTGCCCCAAGTGGGCAGCATCCGAGGCGACACCGACCAGTACGCCCTGCTCAAAATGGGGCAAGGATTGTGGATGCCAGGACAATGGACACCCTAACAGTCCTGTCATTGAACTTACATGTGCTCAAAATATAGGAGAACCATCTTCTAGTCATGCTGTAAGCATTTGTTCTACATGTTTGATGTTTAACACATGTTTTAGACACCTGGAAATGATTTGGCAACATGCTTCCTCTCCAAAGGAGCACCGCCGTCGGCCTTCGCTCCCGCTCCCCCCGCACCCCCCTGCCGACCGCGCCGGTCCTCCCGGCCGCTGAGCGCGCTGGCGGCCCCGGTGCTCCCGATGCTCGAGCCGCGCTCCAGGGCCCCAGGCGCGGGGAAGGGCGGCGGCGCCTGCGCGTCGGGCTCGGGCGTGGCCGACCGGGAGACCCCGAGGGCCCCCTTCTCGCGGTGCCTCCGCTGCAGGTCCTCGCGGAGGGCATCGAGAAAGGGCAGCGCCAGTGCCGCGCGCTGGGGGGGCGGCTCCGGCAGCCTGTCGGTGTTGATGCGTGGATTGCACGGGGCGGGTCGCTGCAGTCATCGTGCTGCCGTCAGGTAGGCAGATTTTGAAAGGACAAAGAAGACAAGGCAAGTCAAACATGCTCAAAAAACAATCAAAACTCGTCTCCAGACAACTTTTTTTGGCGATGCCTCGACATCCCTCCAGTAGAGGGACATACCCGACTTACAGTCGGGGCGTTGACCACCCGAAATCTGGGGCGAGGCCCCTGTTTTCCATAAATTGAACTTCGAATCCCCATCGACAACTTGAAGAAATCCTTAGGAAAGCTGTGAAACAATTAACACCGAGCCCCTCCCCAACGAAAAGGGTTACTTCTTCAGCGCCCCGACTCTAAGGCTACCACAGGGGACGCACCAGAATCGGGGGCGCACAAACATGGATGAGCGATCCATGGATTTGGCGCGCGGTCGCCAAATCCATGAATCGGGGGAAGTGCCCTCCCCACAATGCGGCCAGTGCCGCCCCCTCGGCGGCGGAAATCCGCGATTCCCTATGGAAACGGGACCCGTCGCCAATCCACGCCCCCCCTGATCCATGTCTGCGATCGCCTGATTCCCGCTCCTCCCTCCTCCCATCCCTGCGTCTGCCCTCCGCATGCCCATGTCCCGCTCTGTGGCCCCATGGGAGACGCTCCCTCGCCTGACAGAGGGAGCGATGAGGGGCTCCTCTGGCCACCGCGGGCCTCGGCCTCGAGAACAGGCTCGCCGGCCTGGGCCCGGCGAGCGGTCCCAGCGCGTCTCGGCTATACTCTCCTCTCCTCCTCCTCCACCTCCACCTCCTCCTCCTCCTCCTCCTCCTCCTCCTCCTCCTCCTCCACCTCCTCCTCCTCCTCCTCCTCCTCCTCCTCCCTCTTCTCCTCCTCCCTCTCCTCCTCCACCTCCACCTCCACCTCACCTCCTCCTCCTCTCCTCCTCTCTTTCTTCCTCCTCCCTCTCCTCCTCCCGCTCCTCCTCCTCCTCCTCCTCCTCCTCCTTTTCGTCCCTCTTCCTCCTCCTCCTCCTTCTCGTCCCTCTTCCTCCTCCTCCTCCTCCTCCTCCTTCTCCTCTACCTCCTCCTCATCTTGCTCCTCCTCCTCCTCCCTGGGATTAGCACTCAAAGGTCCCCTAACCCTTTGGGAGGCGGCCTAACTTCGAAGGGCCTGGAACATGAGGGACAATGGGTCTCATCTGCAGATGCATCGGGCCAAACATTCCAGAGCTATTACCCCTGATGCGGAGACGGGGACCTCAGTGAGGCCACGTCTTCATCGTGCTAGTAGGAATAGGGGTTCTTCTATCCTCAATGGCTCTGGTCCTCGCAATTCTTGGCCAGCTCCGGGCTCCCCAGCTTCTGCGCGGCCACCCGCAGCACGGGCAGGTCCCTCTCCTGGATGAAGATGGGCTTACCGTACAGGTGGCACAACAGCGCATGCATGATGGGAGAAGAAGAGAACACCGCATACGGCCACCGTGTTGCACCGTGCCACCACGAGGACAGCGGGACGAGGAACGACGGAGCTTTTCTGGCCACGGCGAGCCTCGGCGACGAAGAGGTCACAAGATCAAAGGCACGGCCTGAGAGTCAGAGCCCCACCTGAACCCCAAATGGTCATTACTTCAGCGTCGTGTCGGTACGGTAGATTCGTGCGGCATCGGCACGCGCGCAAAGGATTTTGACACGGCGTCGATCGTTCAACCTTGAATCGATCGCGGTCCTAATCGTTCAAAATTGAATTCTATTGGGTCAATTGGCGTCACCACGTCCTTCGGTGCTTCCGGGTCGCAGAATTCAACCTTGAGCGCCTTCGCTGGCGTCGCCGGCGCGCCAACGCCGCGTGAACCTACTGTACACATGGACTTCCAGGAAGGCCCGCGCGGAATTCTTGGATCGGCGGCTGGACTCCCCCTGGCACGCTCCGCGCGCCCCGGGAAGGTGCGGCCTGGCGCCGATCCCACGGGTCCGCGAGGAGCCCCGGACGCCTGCGCCCGTGCCGGCTTCTCGCCTTCGCGATGGGGAAGTCACCGTACATGTGAGCCTGCGGGACGGGGAAATGACCACGACCACTGCTTCTTGTTTGCGCCGCCTTCCAGCCGGCCGAAAAAGAAGCAGTGGTTGTGGTCATCTGCCCGGTGCCACGTCTGACGAACACGACCACAGCGACTGCTCTGTTTTCTGCTGGCCGGAAGGCGGCAACAGAAGAAGAGCAACGGTTGTGGTCATTTTCCCGTCCCGTAGAGCCGTCACGTCCACCACCCCGACGGGCCTCGCGGGCTCCGTCGGAAACGCCTCCTCGGGCCGCTGGCCGCCGCTCCCGCAGGCGTCCGGGCTGCCCGACGGCTGCGCCCGCGCGGGCCTGCCCGCGGGGGACGGCGGCGGGGAGAAGCCGGGGCGGCACACCTGGCAGAGGGCAGAAGCTGCCCAGACGCAGACTTTCGGAGGTCCGCGCGGATTTCTCGGCTCGGCGCCGGGCCCCGCCCCCCACCCCCGCGGCACCTCCGGCGCCGCCAGGGGCGGCAGCGCCGCTCCAAGGAATCCGAGCTGCGGGCAAGACTTGTATCCGTCGCGTCTTGGAGTTCGGGGCTCCCTTCCCCAGAAACCAGATGCGCAGTGGATATGGATAGAAAATCTGGCCCCTGGAGGCTTGATTTTTGTCCATATCCAGTGCGCCTCGGCCTTTTGGCGCCCCTTCCCAGAAACTCCAAGACGCAGTGGGTATGGATATAAATCTTGCCCGCGCGAGCGGACCTTCACAGAATTCTGTGCTTTCGCAGCTCCTTTCTTTCTCGAACACCTCCGCGACGGGCCTGCCAGATGACTCTACCCAACTCAGGGCCGCCTGGCGCAGCTCGCGGCTGGGCGGCTCCAGCCGCCGCAGCTCCTCCCGGAAGCAGGGCCACGCCGCCGCGACCAGCACGCGGTGCGCGCCGATGTACTCCTGGACCCCGCGGACTCTGAAGACCACGTCCACGAAATCGGCGTTGACAGAGGAGCAGAGGGCGGCACAGGCGTTCACGGAGGAGAAGCAGGAGGAGGAGGAGGAGGA